TGACTTACTACAGACATCATTCGGCGTAATAGTTAGATTCAGAGAAGGTCGAATTGCAGTAGTAGCCGACATAAAAGAAATGTATTTACAAGTAAAAAGTATAGGAGATGACCGTGATAGCCTACAATTTTTATGGAAGGGCGAGGAAGTAGAGAGTCACTGATACGCGCAGTAGCGATACAATCACGCTTGGTAAAAGTGGCACAAAGAGAACATTAGGCCTTATATGGAACCACACACGTGACACGTTAGGCTTGAATGTCAATCTCAGAAACACACCCACGAGTGTAATTAGAGGTGACACATTACCTACCAAGTGACAGGTAACTAGCGCGGTAATGTCGGTATTCTACCCGCTAGGTTTAGTTTCGCCTGTTAATATAATAGGATAAATGTCTTAATAAGCGTTGTGGGATAGATTGGGACGACCCCATCACAACCGAGCATCACGTGACATGGTTATCATTTATAAATAACTTACAGCTGTTAAAAAGTTAGAGATAGATAGGTACATACCTGCCACGCCCTCTGGAGAACGGGAGTTACACATTTTCTGTGACGCAAGTGAAAAGGTGTATTCCGCTGCTATATATTTCGTAAGTGCAAAAACAGACGGTACTAAAACGTCGCAATTGTTAGCGAGCAAGGCCAAAGTAGCTTCGTTTAAACCAATATCGATTCCCCGGTCAGAACTTCAGGCCGTAGTGTAAGGCAGTCAATTAGCTGAATCGGTCAAGCGCGAGTCGGATTATAAAATATTAAAATGTCATTATTGGTCAGACTCTAAAACTGTATTAGCTTGGATTAAATCAGACCCGCGCACGTCCAAGTCGTTTGTTGCACACGGATTGGCCGAAATCAAAAGCTTAACCACTCCAACCAATTGGCGATGGATACCCAGCTCAGATAACGTCGCGGAGCCGAACACGTGATTAACACGAGGCTATTGACTCCAGTGAACCTCAACTTAGATGAAGAAGCACTGACACCCAATCACTTCCTCATTTGGCGCTCTAGCGGAATGTCACCATTTGGCTCGTTTAAAGATATGCATTTAAACTCACGCTCCTGGAGAACCACCCAAGCGCTAGCCGATAATTTTTCGGCACGCTGGTCAGCGGAATACAAACCTCTTTTAATGCCCCGGCCCAGCTCCAATTCTCAACATAAAAATCTGAAAGTTGGGGACATAGTTATAATTTGAGATGGCACAATGCCCAGAGGAGTGTGGCCTAGAGGCGAAGTGAGGAAAGTTCACCCAGGCCCAGATGGGCGCGTCCGTATAACTAAAGTAAGAACAGCAGCGGGTTTGATTCGCCGCCCGGCCTCTAGCCTCATCGCAATTGCAATAACGGACTAAAACGTTCCTTAGTGCTTGCGCATGAGGAGGAGATTGTAAATAACAGCCTAGATTTAAGAAATTATTAATGTGAATATGAGCCTTTTACAACAAACAATTGTCTAGTACGTAAGCTTATTAATGTTTTTATTGCCCTTTATTTGAAGAATTGTTCTATGTTTTTATAGTGTTTATATTGTATACTTATTAATTATTGTCTGTATGCCTATAAAGAATTATTGTATGTCCCCTCCCCTCCTCATTGGTCGAAAAAGCATGTGTTTTTCACATAAGTTGTGCAATCGAAGGCACAAAATAAAAGACTACGAATATATTGAACAAACAATACATGACTCAATAACAATACTCTTTCTACAGTTTTTAGATTTTGCAGAAATGTATACTGTTTCTAGAAATGCAGTCTCAATATGCAAGAATACATGTTTTGTATTCGCATGTTTGTAATAGCTCAAAAACTCTATTTGATTGTTTTTTGAAAAAAGATTATTTTGAAAAACCAATCTTGAAAATGTCGACTATAAAACCCACATAACTTTGTAAGTGTTAAAGATGTCTATTATGGAGCAAATGCCATTAAAGTGCGCGCAAGATAACTCTGCGTGCGGCCAAAATTGGAACTAATCGTGTGCCGCCATCTTACTGTTTATGGCAGGTGTCAAAACAGATTGTTAGGTGTCGTGTTTTTATTCGTTTTTGCAGTAAATAATCGTTATCATTATGACGAAAGTGATTAAAATTTCTAGCAGGGATATTATATTGAATGTCAAACGTGCTTGTGAAGAAGAACGAGACAATAACGGGCCTACAGTATCGTTTTCCAAAGTTAGAGCCCACGTTTCATATTTCACAGGTAATTTTTAGGGCTGCCATGACAAATAAAACCCTAATTTTCTCGATTTGTTCGTTTTTAGTTTCCTCGTGTCATTAATATCATGTATTTATAATGCATTGTTTTTATTATGTTTTAGGCGTTTCTGAACTCACCGTCACTCAAATAACTCAAGAGGGTACATAATGTAGCAGCAGCTTCATCTTCTAAAATTGTGACGCCGAGAAAAACTAGGAACCGGAGGAAAAAAATTATGATTTAGACGATTTTCATACGAGGCGCTATAAGGAATTTAAATCAATCGTTTGACGTTGTGAAGAAAGAGATTCCCATAAATAATTTTTGGTTGGAATTGAAAGCTGATATTGATTTTAAATTTGGCAGAACAACGTGGTGCCAGTTTAAATGGATAAATTTATAATTAATGTCACAGGCCGACACATCCGAGTCTTCTGATGAAGACGCATGGATTCTGATGAAAATGTGAGAATGGAAGGCCATGGCAGGACCATTGTTACACCAAATTTACAAATAGATCTAGCTATTCAATAAAAGATTTACAAGGTTTCCATGGACTTTTAATTTCGTTCTTTATAATAAATATTTTAAAATACATTTTTTGAAAAATTCATTATAGACAAAATATCAGTGTTCATTAATTATAATGATAGTCATTTCTAACACGCATATAATATCTTCACCTATAATTGTGTAAAAAAATATTTAAAGTTAAATTTTACCAACTTTTAGGTTCTCGATGGAGCGGAAATTTTGCATATACGTTAAGTTTAGATGAAAATAAGTAACCTAATTCTAAATCCAATATAGCGGACTCCCAAAGATGGAGGACTAGTTATTTTTTGTGCATTCCAATGATATGGATATCAAATAAAAGGCTTTGCTGAGAATACCAAAATAAAAGTGAAGCGTGTTTTTGTTTTTTTTTTCTCAAACTCGCTCGCATAAATTAAACGTTTTCAAATGTTTTGAAGGAATGATTTATATTAACTTAAAACTTACCATAGAAACTTGTAATGTGTAGTGTCAAACTTACGGAAGTTACAATCAAGAAATATATTTATTATGCTAATCTTAAACAATAAATATAGAGTTTAATATTTATTAGGTCTTTGTAAGTTTAAGCTGAACATTACAGTTTTTTAACTGAGCCTTGGTGATCAATTCGGTCATTTATGTAATTTTATATAATTATACAATTCTAGTAATAAGATTAAATGAAGGAAATAAATATTAATTAAGCTGGTAACATTAAGTACGCCATCATTCGCTCGCAGAGTTATCTTGCGCGCACTATAACACTTTACTTACAGATAAAACATTAACTTCTTAACAAATTCACTTGTTCCAAACAAGATGTATTCAATTTTTTATTTAAGCATGTGATCAAATCACACAAAGATTTGTCCTTAAAAATAATCCATTAAAAAATTTAGGGGCATTTTCTCCGGAGAATGTCAAAAAGGTGAACTTGCGACAATAGTATCAATTTGTTAGAGAGCAATAGTTATCAAAAAATTGATACAGAATGGCGTTTGCTGCGAAATACGAAATACGTTCAGTGAAAAAACAGAAGAATTTTGGGCAAGCGTGAGTAGCATAAAATGTGGAGTGAGCCACGTGAGCCACGCATGTTTGAAGATGTTTGTTCTTTTATATTCAAAGTTTTGAGTTTACCACACTCATCTGCAAATGTGGAAAGAATATTTTTATCCATCAATTTGATGAAAACTAAACAGCGAAATAAACTTTCCACTGATTCAGTAATAGGTCTTTTACACACAAAAAGATGTATAGATGAAAATAATCAAAGTTGCTACAATTTTAATAGAGAAGAGAAAATGTTTACAAAAATAGCTAGTAAGAGGTGGTATGAAGACGAAAATTAAATATTATTTTAATTTTATTTTTATTTATTAAGTTTGGTTATTGGATAGATTATAGTAGATAAACAAATGATTGTATCAAATTAAATAAATGATTGTATTATATTATTTTAAAATACCCATGTTTATTCTATACTCCAGTTCTCCAGTTGTTAACTAAAGATAAAGCTTATTGCAAAAATATATAATTATCTTTATTTAATATAAAAATTACGTGTCACATTGTCCGCGATGAACTCTTAAACCACTTAACTGATTGCAATGAAATTTTTCACACTGTGTGCAGTTTGGTCCAACTTGAGAGATAGGTTAGTTTTTATCCCTATAAGTGACCCTCAATATTTTTATTACGAATTTAAGAATTTTTACAGGACACAGGGCCGTCGGAGAGGGCAGTACAACGTCTGCCTGGCCAGCTAGTTATAATATAGTTTAAATTATAAAAAACATTATTTTGATCACAAAAATTTTGAAACGAGAAAGAATGACATCTAAAAGAACCTGTTTTATTACAGAGTAATATAATTATACTTACGCATTGTTTTCTGATATATTTCTAAACCGATGCTCAGAAGGGCTAGAACCCAGAGCCGTAAAGCCAGTTATTAAAAAAAAATTCTAAACCGATGGATTTAAATAAAAATCCCCCGATTTCTCCCGATTTTTAGCTGGCAAAGCTACCGATTTTTTTTTCTTTATTGCAACACTGACCTTGACATTGACACTTGACAGTTTGTTTGTTTGGATTTGGATTGCTTTGCTGTGTGTTTATGTTTTAGCAAAACAAATTTATTCAATTTAAATTATTCCGGTGGATAAAGGAGAAAAATTAAAATGTAATTTAAAATATTGTTACATCAGATATGGGCATCATACAACATTATCTTTTTATATTTATTTGTTGATTATGTCAGCGCGTAATTATTTGTCTGCACGGGACAAAAATAGCAAATTTATAGATTGTCTACCACATATAAATCGGCAAAAGTTTTCCTACCGCTCAGTGCAGGAACTACCTCCACTGTCAGCTAATGCTGCTTCCTTAGTTAATCGAAATGTAGGCTTTTCTTTTCTGGTTCAACCTTACTCTAATGAAAGTTTAGACAGAGGCGACACACCGTTCTCTGATTTTTATTCTGACAGCGAAACAGGTAATACAACTAATATATAGACTTTTCTAGTTTTTAAGACATCTAGTGTGTAATTTATTTACAATAACTTATAGTGGCTCATGAGTCCATCTTCATGAGCCACTATAAGTTATTTAAGTTTATTAGTATGTGCAGTTTTAAGAGCTGAATTAACAACATGTGCTAGACTATGAAACCAAACTTGCGATAATGTGTGTACCTGAGAAATAATACATCATGTTTTAAGGAACTAAAATTTACCAATTGATAAATAAGTATATAAAGTTCAATCATAACATGATAAGTCTTACTGAGTTGGGATAAACATTCCAATATGGACCATCGATTTAAATGCTCATATTTTTTTTTGTAGGTAGTACTCCCTAAAAGAAAGCGTTTTGCAAAGTTTCAATATGTGGAAACGCATACTTTTTGGGAAAAAAATTATTAAAAATCAATTATTTTAGCAATATTTATGTCAATTCCTATGGTAAAACTGACACTATTTTGTATTGTCATTGTCATCGTCAGTAGGGATGTCGAATCTTTCCGAAAAAGATCGATTTTTAAATTGATTCGAATCATAAGCTGATGTATCGATTAACAAAAAAATCTATTTCTAAAATATCGATATTTTTTCATGTTTGCATTTATAATGTAAATATAAATCCACTTTATAAAAAACCAGAAAGATACCATAGTAAATAATCTCTTATTGAAATTTGTTGTATTTTAATTTATTTATTTTATTTAGGGCAGATAACAAATAAAATAGGTTAGGTTCAACTTATGTCAAAGAATCGAATTGATTGACCCCAACTCCACCTGGTACGAGTCTGTCCTACCCCTAGAGTGGTTATATAGAGCCGGAGGCACGTAGGGGGAGCAGGGGCAAGGAGGGATGCCTGGGATTTGTTATGCAAAGGCGTAGAGGCTGCTCTTCCCGCAGCGCCGGAGACGTTGCAGTCTCAAAATAGATACAGAAACCCCTTTTAATCAGTCCCCCTGTTTTATGTCTGATGAAGGGGATTTTGTTCTCATAAAATGGATTTATATTTCCATTATAAAATGCAAACATGAAAAAATATCGAAATTTTAGAAATCAATTTTTTTGTGAATCGATACATCAGCTAACGATTCGAATCGATTTATAAAATCGATCTTTTTCGGAAAGAATCGACATCCCTACTGACGATGACAATGACAATACAAATTAGCGTCAGTTTTACCGTAGGAATTGACATAAATTTGCAAAAATAATTGATTTTTAATAATTTTTTTCTCAAAAAGTACGCGTTTCCGCATATTGAAACTTTGCGAAACGCTTTCTCTTAGTGAGTACTATCTACAAAAAAAAAATATGGGCATTTAAATCGATGGACCATATTGGAAATTTTAACCAGCAGTACAATTGTAAAAATGTACTAGGTTTCTTGCTGGTTCTGCCACGGGATATATACACTGTGTGGTCTGATGTTTCATCATTTTGACAATATTGGAATGCAAATTTTAGCAAAGATGGGCATAATAATCAATATTAAGAGTAGTAGTTAGTTAAGTAACATTTTTGTTTAATGTTTGGTGTGGCATCAGGAAATACATGGTTGTGTTTGAAGGACACTTGAATACAAGAAAATACTTAGTAATATTAAAGCTTTTACAAAATAAATTTAACTAACTGCTATAGGAGGAGTAAAATAATAACATATTTCAATGAGATGGTGCTCCCGCTCATAGTAGTTGAATATGCACTGCTTTGGTTATCGTAGTCATGCACATACACATTGTGTTAGTGTGTGTAGGCCTTAGGAGCACTACTCCCGAGCATATCGATACTCAAAAAATGGAATACTAAAACCAAATCAGCATGTGCTAACTCCATGTTTTGTCTGCCCTATCCCTAGTATTTTTGTAAAGCTGTAGGGGCAGAGGAAGAGCAGCCCACGCCCGCTGTAGCAAATACCAAGCACCTGTGCTAGCTGTAAGTAGGCTGAGGCTGGTCGAAGGGGCTGCACTTCTGGCAGCGCCAAAGCCGTTGCAGAAGTAACTAACATTCCTGTGTAAAAAAAAGTAATTTTTGTGTCTTGATGTTTCGGAAACTAAATGAGATTTAGAAAAATTTTATTTTTTACTTTTTAATGTATCTCGTGGAGATCATAGTCTTGTCAATATTTTCAATATTTAATTTAATATACCTCCATGTACCGTTCGTTTTTTCCACCCTGTGTTTAGAGATTTGTCACGGCACTGATCAGAGAAGTAGTAAGCTCAGAGCCAATTTGCACACCTTTAATAAATTGTATGTTCAAGACAAATGGCGTGCCCTACAGGCACAATTGTGTGCTGGGTTGGTGGAGAATAAAACCGCTGAGATATTTTCTTTCTTCTATATTCGATGTTTTTCTTGAGGTAGCTGGCCGCCGACCATGTCGAACGACGAAAATCGCCCCTCTTTTATACCACCTCGGCTGGGTCAATAGATACGGCGTACGTATCGTACAAACGGCGTCGACCAATCAGCGCGAGGCGTGACATAGCAAGTGATGTTAAGTGACCACCTTGCTGAGTCACGTTACATTGTTTACCTTAAGCTAGTTCTACTATACAAAGTGACCACCTTACTGAGTTATTGTTTACATTAACTAATTCTATTATACAAATATAAACACAAAACTATTATTTTCTTATCATAACACAAAATGCTTATATCTTACTTTATGTGTAACTCTATAATCTTTATTCAATTAAATATAACATAAACGCTTATCCTATTTAAGTATGAACTCTCAACTATTTATTAATATAAAAATGTTCGTTTTATTTATGTATTATCCTATCACTATTTGTTTTCACTTGTCCCGCACAAATTGACTGACATTATTCTATTGTCACAGAAAAATGTTTCTGCTGCTATTATCAGTGGAATACCAGAGAAAAATAATGGCAGCAAAAGGGTCAGCAAAAAAAAATTACTTAACTAAACCACGAAGAGTCAACCAAAAGTGAATTTATTAGTGTGCAACCAAATTATCAAAGCACTTTCATGTACGATTCATTCACATTTCACAAATCATTTCCGAAATTGTTCCATAGAAAATCCACACATTGTGTATTTAAGGATCTAATGTTTTCTATTTGACATTTTTCTTTTAAGAGGAGTATTACAAAAAACGCGATATTACAAGGTTTCCTCGTTGAAATTGTATGTTTATTGTTTGTTGCTTGAAATAACAATTACTTGGTAAAAATAGTTCGTTTTCTCTACTACAGTAAGCTCAAAGCGAATTTTAGATAACTTATTTATTTATTGAGTAATAACCATTCTCCCGATGCATGTTTAGGCAAAAACTCACGAAGACATGATTTAGGAGCTCTAATTTGTAGATTCTATTGAATATCGACCATCAAAAAAAATATATTTTTATCTCCCGAATATCCTACACTTTAATAATTATAGAATACATTTTCGTTATATGCCTTTCACGCTAGGGAAAAAAAATCGACATAATTCAATTAACGACCGAAAAAGCTTCAATACAATCCCTCAATATTTCCGAAGTTCTACATCATTTTCACGTAAAATTTATACCAAAATAATCATCAACATTTGCTTAAACTATACTATGTGTCTTTACTTTTTAAATCGTTACTCTTATTTTTTAATTAATTAAATAAAAGTACCATATATTTCACTTCGTCGGCGCGCTTTTTATTACTACCGCGCGAGCGCTTGTCGATGTCGGACCTGCGTCAGTTGATTTCGCGCGCTGCGTCGTTTCGATACTGTGTTAGTGTGCATCGATTGCCGTATAGGCGCTGCAATTGTGTGCGAGCTAGAGCATCGTTAACGACGACAGCAGTTTTTGATCGATCGGTTTAAAAATATTTTATATAGTTATAATCTAGATCACGTCTCTTCCATCAAACATGGTAGGGACAACGAGTCTGTAGCATTGGTACAATTGAGCAAACAAGAAAATATTATTATAGAAAAATGTGGTCTATTAATTGACCCAGATCGTTGTTATTTGAGGGCTTCACCTAATGGTTTATACAGTGACGGTTTTAAATGTCCTATTTCAGCTTTCGGAATACACTTTGACACGACCGTTCGACCAAAAAAAAAGTTAAAGGTCAATATTCAGTAATTCAGGTGTAACATTGAATCAAAATCATGACTGGTTTTACCATACCCAAGGCCAGCTTCATTTAGCAAATAAAAATGTCTGCATACTTGTCATAGTACTGGCCCAGATTATGCAGTAAAAGTACTAAAAATTTACAAAGACGACCAATTTTGGATTTTGAATATGTTACACAAGTTACAAGATTTTTGTGAAAAGTGTGTACTGCCTGAAATTATCAACTCGAGAAAAGTTCTGCCGTTACGGCAAATATTTTTCTAATAAAAGATATGGTAATTGACTGTAAGTACCGATTAAAAAAAATGTCAGTTACATTTGGTTGTTTTATTTATTAAAACAGGTTGCAACCATACTATCTATTTATTTATACCACTGTTCTACCGGTAGTAGACAAAATCGATTATTAACATTCGGTTACTGCATAACAATTAAAATATTTATGTGTGTTTATTTCAACACTAAATTTGATAAATAATGAAAAATATATCATAATAGTATATAATAATAAATAATATAATTATATAATAATAAATTAACAATGACACACCAAGAAATTTTCCATCCACTGAACTCCATACTAAGAAAACTTGTATTATGGAAGATCTAGATCGTTTAATCGCCATACTCACAGTATCATAGTGCGAGCGAGTGAATAGATATGAAAGAAAGTATCGGTCGCGTAACTCGCCGTCCGCTCGGTGCGTAAACTACCTAAATTTGCGAAACGCCGAAATGTAAGAAAGTTTGGTTTTCGTCGGTGTCGATCAGCTGGTGATCTTCTGGTCTACTTAACTCATAGATGGGCTTTGGCAGTGGAGTCCAAGGGGGAGGCATTGGCCGTTAGTTTGGACATTGCGAAGGCCTTCGATCGGGTTTGGCACAAAGCGCTTCTTTCGAAGCTCCCTTCCTATGGGCTTCCCGAGAAATTATGCAATTGGATCACCAGCTTTCTTGCAGATCGGAGCATCAAGGTCGTTGTAGACGGTGCATGCTCCGACTACAAGCCTATTAACGCTGGTGTTCCACAAGGCTGCGTGCTATCACCAACGCTGTTTCTTCTGCATATCAATGATATGTTGCAAGCTGTTAGCATTCATTGCTATGCAGATGACAGCACTGGTGATGCTCTATACACCGGCCGTGCCAATATTTCTCGGGAAAACGTCACCGAGTACCGGAACAAACTTGTGTCTGAAGTCGAGTCTTTGCTGGACAAAGTCTCGGATTGGGGGCGACTAAATCTAGTCCAGTTTAATCCTCAGAAGACACAAGTTTGCGCGTTTACCGCTAAAAAGAACCCCTTTGTCGTATCTCCTCAGTTTCAAGGTACTCCCCTTGTTGCCTCAGCCAGTATCGGAATCCTCGGCGTCGACATATCGAGTAGCGTGCAGTTTCGTGGTCACTTGGAAGAGAAGGCCAAATTGGCCTCTAAAAAGCTTGGCGTGCTCAGCAGAGCGGGACAGTATTTCATGCCGGCTCAACGCCTGCAACTTTACAAGGCACAGGTTCGGCCTCACATGGAATACTGTTCCCATCTCTGGGCTGGGGCTCCCCAGTGCCAGCTTCTTCCACTTGACCGCATCCAGCGCAGAGCGGCTCGAATCGTCGACGACCGAGTCCTTTCCGATCGGCTCGACTCATTGGCACTGCGAAGAGATGTTGCATCTCTTAGCATTTTCTTTCGCATTTACCATGGGGAGTGCTCTGAGGAATTGTTCGGATTAATCCCAGCCGCCAAATTTCACGAACGCACATCGCGGCAGAACTCCCGATACCATCCACACCATCTGGATGATTGGCGGTCCACCACTGTGCGATTTAGAAGATGTTTTCTTCCTCGCACAACTTCCTTGTGGAATAGTTTACCACCAGCGATTTTTCCGGACCGATACGACTTAGGGACCTTCAAGAAAAGAGCCTACTCCTTTTTAAAAGGCCGGCAACGCATCTGCAATTCCCCTGGTGTTGCGGTTGTTCATGGGCGGCGGTAGTCACTTACCATCAGGTGAGCCGCATGCTCGTTTGCCCCCTCTCCTATAAAAAAAAAAATGTAAGAGGGCTCTAAAATGTAAGTTTTAAATTTTAATGTTTTGCAGGCACTCCAGACTTTAGAAGTGAGGAGAGTGACAGCAGTGCAGGATCAGCACTACAAAGAAACACAGAAGAGGCCACCAAAATTTTGGAAGAAGAGTGGGAGAAAATTGAAAGGACATTATATGATGAAGAGGGAGAAAAAACAACAAGGCCACATATACTTGAGGAGTGCCAGCAGTGGAGACAGCTGCACCCGCAACTCAGGTAGGTACTGTGCTAAAACAGTCTGTTCAATTAATGTAATTCTGGCATGGATGTTCTTATCTGGGTCTCGCATGCATTGCTCTAGGCAGTGACAAATTTACTGTAGAACTGTTTAAATTTCGCAACAAACACACAGGCTTTCTTGGCAACTGTCTAACCACATATGAAGCGAAGAAATATTGCTCTCTGATTTCAAGCTGTTTAGGCTGTCTAATAACAAGGATGATTTGAACTATAACTTCTATCAAGGCATATCACTACTCTCAGTGTTGGAAAACATCTCCCTAAGCTCTTCCTATTCAACTTGACATATTAAAGATGTTACTGCCAGTAATCCAAACTGTGATTGTCGCTACACCACTTCTTGAAGATGTGTGGTCAACAGTCAACTCATACTACTAACCTTACTACACGTTGACGCTGAACCAAAGGTTGGTGCTGAGAGACAGTGGTGGTTTGGTGTTGTAATGCTATAATTGCTTTGAACGCCAAAGTAATTGATTAAGAATATTTTCGAATATTATCCATTTCTCTTTTATGGGCTTTCTGCATATCGCGTTTGCGTCGTACGGCTGTCACCGCAATTGGTTGAAGACTGCTGTCACGAGAGTAGATTTACACATTCAGATATCTGACTTGCGTGTAGTAACATAATGTATATGTCGTCCTGCACTGCGGGTTCGATAATTTAACTAGTCAATCTGGGATAAGAAGACTGGCTGATTGTCCAGAGTGCATGAAAAGTAAATATGTCAGCTGGCCACTCGATGGTCCTCTCCATGCACTACTTATTGGCTGATAGTTACTACGTTCAATTCATTAGTCTGCTTTTCATGCTTAGTTTTCTCCATTTTGACCTATCTTGGACGTCATTCTCAGTTAAATCTCAGATCTTCATGTTATTTTCGAATTAAAATATTTCCATTTAGGTCTTCATATGTGTCTCTAAATTTTTCGTGATCGTCTATTATTAATATGCGTGACTATCATCCCAATAGCGTCGTAAGAAGCGATAGAGGATTTAGAGAATTATACGTGGTAGAGCCATGGTGCAGTTTTATTAGTAGTATAGTTGTAGCACGAATGGGTCTGCTCGACTGGGGAAGGACCACGCTCTCACAGAATACCAGCGTAAAATAGCAGCTTAATCCTGCTGTGTTTTGTATGGTGAGTGTAGAGTACCGGAGACCCTTTTTACTGGAAAAGAGGTGTTCCATCGCATCGCATCTGCATTTTGATTCGAAAACGAGGATGGATGTAGATGTCAATGGGCCACAGCAACCACTTACCATCGGGTGGACTGTGTGCTCGTTTGTCACCCGATCCTATAAAAAAAAGGAAACTGAAACAGGAGATGAGCAGCAGCATTTCCTTAATAATAAAAGAGCCTGCCAAGCTGCTACGCTCGCCAAATATGAAACTATGTGAAACTATCTATAGGGCAGGCCTATGTTTAACTTTTGATAGGCTGGCTAAAGATGATGATGTTTGATGAATATGTTATTGTTTTTAATTTCAGAGTCACTGGCAAAGCAATATCGCTACCGAAAAATAGGACATGTTATAGACAGATTGAGCATGATGAGGTGATTGCTATGCACTACATTGATTACGAGCAGTTTAGCGAGAGCGAGGAGCGTCTGTCGCAAAGCAGTACCGACGTTACACCACAAAACTCTCCCAGAGTGTCCACTATGGAGGCCGTAACAGAACCAAGGTTGTCACGTGAGAAAGTTTCATTTTTTCCAAACCAAAATGATGAGGATGTTCGCTTTGAGGACTCTTTTTCCTCACTTCTACAAATCACTCCTATTCAGATACGAAGTCCGTACAGAAAGAGAATGAGCCATTCTATCATGAGATCCGATGTGGCATCATCGCGTTGGATGAGGGGATCGCGACCAGAATCGTCAGTAAACTGTGGGAGAAGCAGTGCAAATTCGTTTATTTCGTTGGAAACGGGGAAGTACAGCAATGTTGCTATGAGCGCTACGGAAGCGAAAACACTCAATAATAGGGTTGTCACGGCAAGGAACAGAGAAGTAGCGAGGTTAGAACCAATTTACACTCCTGAACCCTCTCAAAACGATATGATTAAGACAAATGGATTAACGTCATTCTATTGTCACAGAAAAGTGTCTCTGCCGCCATTATCAATGGAAGACGAGAGAAGAAAAATGGCGGCAGTAGGTTCAGCAAAAAAGCAAAACGTAAAACCTAAGAAGAGTCAGCCAAAAGTGAATTTAATAGAGCGTGTGAAAAATAACAATTGAAGAATTAACTCTTTTGTGTTAAAAGACTTGTGTAGTTAGTAAATGATTTGTATATGACAGCATGATGTGTAATGAGATTGTTAGTCTGAGACCTCAATGAAGAGCGTGCGGCGGGCGCGCAGCGTCATGAAAAACATACGCTTTTGTATTTTATTTTTGAAGTTATTTCGACGGTTCCGTGGCGCAGTGACTTAGCAGTGTGTTGCGGCACTGAGGGCAGCGGGTTCAAATTCTGCACGGAACAAGTATGGTACAAATGATTGAACGTGTATGGCGTACAAATAATTGTTCCGATTGTGGATGTTTGTCCTTATGCAATTTGTGTTTGTAAACTGCCTCCACGATACAGGAGAAAATCCTAGTATGGGGGTAATGTGTTTTTTTTTTAACTAAATTATTTTACTGAGTAGCGGTCGCTTTTATGCTAAACGCACCTTTACGTTGCTCTCATCGGCGAATGCTCTCCCCTCTAACCTTAGTCTTAAAAGGCAGTTTCACTTCGAAGACATGTATATAGAATAAATTGTTAACGGCTTAATAATAGACGATAAATTTATTTTTAAAGCTATATTCACATCTTAATATTTTCTTAATGCCTTGAGGAAATAGAGTAACAAACTAGTTTTTAGGCTGTTGCTAATCATACGATAATCGTATGATTAAAATATAATTATACGTCCGATAATTGTTAAAACTAAAAAGTTCAATTCTTTCAATATTTTACTTTATATATTTTATTCAATTGTGTAAAATTATTACAATATTTTTTTTTAATTTAAAATGTTTAAAATATGTGGCGGCGCTGTCATCGCGCCACAAACGAAACACTTCGAAGCCTAAATCGCGCTAACAAAGTTCCGAAGTTAAAGCAGTATATATAGAATAGCTCCGAACTACCACTCAGAACGTTGGCCGCTCCCCGGGCAGAACACCTTGCCCGGCGGAAGATCTCCCCTTTTCCTTTCACCGGCTACAAATATATCGGACGAATAAAAATAAATAAATCATACGTTATTCGTATAAATGTCATGGGCGTTTTTGGATTTGAACGCAATCCGATATTTATCCGATTTCAGATTTCAAAATCGATTTCAAAATCCGTTTTTAAATATCCGATTTCAGAATCGCCAATTCGTTTGCGTACTTAGACTACGTTAACGAAACGACAAACGCAAATGTATACAGAAACAGATTAGCGCAATTATCCTTCATGCTTTAATCTAGGCTTAGGACTAGCAGAAAATTTTTGTATGAAATTAAAACCTTTCCGGCGCATTTAAAAATCGGCATATTTACAATGATTTTTTAATATATTTTTTTCTTTTGTTTTTTTTTTATAATTTTTTTTATTTTAGAATCTATTTGGATCAAGGTTTGCGTTTAAAAACTCATTTTGCTGCTAGACGACACCTCTTGTCATTTAACTTTATAATAAGTCCCATCTTGGGAAAAAGTCGCAACAATATTACATTTTGTGCGATATATTTCCGACAAGTGCGGATAAATTATTTTATGGGCTCGCCACCACTGCGAGGGGCTATTCCAATTACCGGCACTATTTTTCTTGCTAGCATCTCGTCGTCAATATACATTTGTAACTCACGAATTGCTCTTGCTTCAGCGCTTCCTTGTGGCTTATTTTTTTTTATAAGCCGTCAAATTTGTCCCAGGCACTGAGATTTTGGCGGAGCTTTTCTTGAACTTCATCAGTGCTTGCTTCAGAATTTGTATTCTTATTTATAATTTTTATAAGGCCTATTATTAAGCCATGGACATACCTTTTTAATTCGGTGGCCGCACTTTCGTTTTTAAAACATACAAGTTTAAATCGTGGATCCAACAATGTACACACTCCGAAGGTCTTGCGGTGCTCTATTCCCTGAAATCTATCTCTCAATCCGTGTTTTAAACTCCGTATTACGTCAATCACAACTGGATTAAATGATGCGAAATATTCTTCTTTGTTAAGAAAATCTTCACAAATATCCTTCAAGCAGTTGGTCATGACTATGACCATACTTCCTGTGAGGTACTGGTCTCCAGTTACTGAAGAAGTGACCTCTTCAAATGGCTGGAGTACTTTGCATACGTCTTCCATTATGTCCCAGTCCTCTGAACGTATAATCGGCCATTCTCTTTCTATAAGAGCCATGCAGTGTTTAACGGCTTCCTTTAATAACATGAAACGGCGAAACATAAAAAATGTAGAGTTCCACCTTGTAGGTATTTCTTGGATTAGCCGTTTTAGTTCTCCACAATTAATCATGTTTTTAATTGGTATTTAAGAAGCATATCCGTTGCATTTGTACTGCGTTTAAAATGTGCCAGTATTTTTTTTTTCCATTTTCAATTAACTCTTCTAATGGTCTCAGAGCCCCCGACACAATTAAATTAAGGGAATGGGCATAATAGCCATAATGCTTCCACCCTAGCTCTGTCTCTATTGCTTTGACAATATTTCGAGCATTGTCTGAAATAGCGAAATTGACTTTGTGTGTTAAATTCCACTCGTCCGTTACTCTCTTTAATTCCTTAGCTAGATTGGCACTCGTGTGAGTTTCGTTAAGACCTTTACATTCTAAAAGTATTTGTTGTGGTTCAAAGTTTTTGTCTATGTAATGCACTGTTACACCAATATAGTTTTCAGTCTGGGACGATGTCCAACAATCAGTCGTCAAACAAACACTGCTAGCGTCTAGAGAAACTCTGGTCTGTACTTCACTTAAAGTGGTCTGGTACAATGCCGGGATCATAGCCGAAGATATATTTTTCCCACTAGGCAACGTGTATCCCGGGATATTTTTCACAAATTTTTTAAAGCCTCTGTCTTCAACAATTCGGAAAGGTTGAAATTCTGATATGAATAACTCTAGCAAATCACGATCAACTCGTTTACTTTCTTCTAGGGACATTTTTTTAATAATATAATTTTGCATAGTTCTTTGCCGTTTTCGATTGAGTATCTGCTCTGGAATCTGGGAAGCTGTCTCTTTTTCAGCGACCGCGGCAACTTGAATGAGCCACCCATATCTCTAGATGTACTCGCCAAACACTCGATAGTCCCAGTTTGCTGTTTATTTCCTAAATCGGTACTCACCTTTTGCGCCAAATAAATTGAAGCGTGAGATCGTTTTAAATGAGCTCCTAGGTTACCCGATGTCGATTTGTAAGATATATTTTGATTGCAATATTTACACACTGCAACTCCAGAAGCATTTTTTTTATAGGATCGGGTGACAAACGAGCACACAGTCCACCTGATGGTAAGTGGTTACTGTGACCCATAGACATCTACATTTATCCTCAATAAAGACTCAAGATGCAGATGCGTTGTCACCCGTGAGGACTAAGATGAAATGCCTCTTTGCCAGTAAAAAGGGTCTCCGGTTCTCTACACTCACCATACGAAACACAGCAGCGTTAAGCTGCTATTTTACGCTGGTTTTCTGTGAGAGCGTGGTCCTTCCCCGGTCGAGCCGACCCATTCGTTGTTCCATTTTTTGTCAAAATGAGTCCATATCTCACTGGGTTTTCGCGACATTTTGAAAATCAAACCAGTTCCCGTCTAATCAATTAAAAAGTCTAAATAAAAAAATTAAAAATTATAAATTCTACAAAATAATTTACTGATACGACTGACCGGCACGCACGCACTTTGCACCAAGGACAAATCTGCATCTAAACGAAAACAACATGAAAACAAAAAAATATTTCTAGTAAAGACACAATTAACCAAAAACAAAAATAAATCATCACACAATGTCGCAAATATAGTCTTTAACAACTGTGTAACTAGAACGATATTGGTTGCATATTTCAAAGATTCTAGTAAGCAAACACCCAACACGGAACCAAAATTCATTTACGCATAATCTCGCAAAGCAAATATAGACTTTAAGTACTTAAAAGTAAGGATAATATTGATCGCATATAATTCAATATGCAATAGATTTCATAGCGGACAAACCAAAATCCAAATCGCAAAATTCGCGCCATCCTTTTCATTCCGCTATGTCATGTTTGGTTAGAAAGAGAGAAACTGAGAAAACGGATTTCTACGCATCAGTTTGCGTTTGGATTTGGATATTGTCGATTTCGGATTTCGATTTCATTGTCGATTTGGATTAGTTTGGTGGTACAGATCGTAAGAGCTTAGCTTAGTTAGGTCGATTTTTGAAATCGGACGAATGGATTTGTGTTTGAAATCGGATTTTAGATTCGTTTTGATATATCTGACGCATGCCTAAAATAAACGTTCGATTATCGTATGAATAGACACTTCCTTTGTATAAATGGTAGGTAGGTACTTAATTTCGTCCTTTATTTTTGCAGGGTCTATAGAAACTAAAATATGATATGGTATCTGTGAACTGTTGAGTCATTATTTTCTATACATATAGTAAATCAGAGGACTGAGAGCTTGTACATTGCATTTAAAAAAATGTATGTGTTGGAATGGAGTAGAATTCAGTTTTAAAAATTTTTGTCGAATACATATTCTGTTTGCGCATGCAATCCAATTAAATAACCCTTATTGTACTTTTAATGTAGCTTTTAAATTTTGAACACATGGAAAAATTAAACCATTAGTGCCTTACCATGACTTTGCGGTATGAGCGACAAGACGACTCAGTGGAGCTTCCTAAACGTCATTTTATATCTGGTATCATTATGTGATCGTTATGACGCCTTTCATCGAAGGACGCTTTTCTTAATCTAATATTATCTGTTCTCTGCTAATATACTAACATCTAACCCCTTAATTGATGAAACTGTCAGAAAAATATTGTTCAAATTCAAAATATTTATTATAAGTGATATATAGATAGAGTCTAAGGGTGTTATGTTGGGGGAGGTTCCGAAGTTTAAGTCACCGTTGCCCTCTAAATTCGGCCCTGCCGTGTTAACGCTGCGGTATATTCTTTGAATTTAACCACCTGCTGATGAAACGCGAAGGACTATTTAATATGCGACTAATGACAAGCTATGCATTTTTTTCTAATACATTTATACTTTCATTAATAAGCTTAAATATCTGTGATATTGAACGTCAGGTAGTAATTTTATGTAATTACTTTTGGTCCTTACTATATATTGTATATTCTTAATTAGATAATGCACTAATTACTCCACTGAAGAATTTTATTTTATTTACTATTTTGAGGAGAAGTAAGTAGATTTTCCTTTTAGTTGTAGAAAATTCAATACATGTTTTTCTGATTAAAATCTATATTTTCCAAATGTGTTATTACTTAATATTGCCCAACATATTGTATTTAAAACTGCCAAAAAGATTATATAAGGATGTCCACAGTAGAACCAGATAAACCGGCATTTTTTTTACTGAAGGGGAGGCAAACGAGCATACGGCTCACCTGATTGCACGTGATCACCATCTGCAACATCATAAAAACTGCAGTTGCGTTGCCGGCCTATTTGAGAGGATTAGGCTCTTTTCTCGAAAGTCCCTAAGTCGTATCGATCCGGAAAAACCGCTAGCGACAGTAAATTCCACAACGTGATCTTACGAAGCAGAAAATTTCGAGTAAATCGCACGATTGTGGATCTCTAACCATCGAAATGATGAGGGTGGTATTTCGAGATCTGTCGTGTACTATGGTGAAATTCAACAGCTGGAATTAATCCGAACAATTTCTCTGAGCACTCAGCGTGGTATATATAATAGAAGATGTATAGAGATGCAACGTTTATTCGCTAGGCCTGTGGATTAAGCCGATCGATCGAAGACTTGGTCGTTCACGATTCGGACTGTTCTTCGTGAATGCGGTCAAGTGGAAGGAACTGATACTGGCGTGCCCCGGCCCAGAGTATTTCATATGAGGCTGATTCAGCGCTTTGTAAAGTTGAAGCGGGTGGGTCGGTATGAAATAGTCTCGATCTACTGAACACACCAAGCTTTTAGATCCCAGTTTAGCCTTCCCTTGCAAGTTTGACCACCACCTATTTGAAGTAATATTGACGATATAAGGTGAGCGATCTTTAAAAATTTTTTTTTACAATACCACTGTCAGTATTTTTTTATATACATATACAAATTATAAAGTTGTATACATACTCAAAATTCGTAGACTGGGGATGGAAGGGGGGGGGGGGGATTCGATTCTAAAGCCAAATTCTTTAGAGTTGTTAATTATTTAGTTTACTTTCGATTAAAACAGAATAAATTAGAAACGGATAATTTAAAACACAAATTTATCAGTTTCTTGTTACTGCTTATTTCTAGATGCAAAGTTATATAATTCAATCACTTTCACTATAACTAGTTGAGCTGTCGTTGTTTAGATTATTATCTGATTTAATTTAAATATAGTCTGTCGTGCTGCATAGCCTGTAAAATCATAAGATGTTTTTAATCTCCGAAAATGGCGGGATATTGGAATTACGTAGTGTTTTTTCAACGCGGCATTGGATGAAACTTTTTGGTCTCCATAAATTTACGCTGACAAAGTGGGAAATTATAAAAGAAAATAAACTTGTTTTATTTATGATTCATGTAATATGAGCAATTTTAAAAATATAAATTTTAATAAACAAATAATAAATTAAAAAATTAAAGAATCGATTATTTGAATATTAATATAATATATTTTTTACGATTATTCGCATAACAATGAATTTTAATCACCCAAATACTACGTTAAGGTATTTTTTTTTGGAGTTTATGGCCTGGTATCTAGACCTTTAGGCCAAGTCTTAAGTATTTTTATTCGGTTTATTGTAATTTCCCCACTCCTTCATAGTATACTGCTTCACAATATGTTGATGCGTCACATTGTGCAGTTCTTGGGAGATTTTGGCGGCAACTTGATCCAGCAGACAGCTGATAGTTGGCGATGGTATCTAAAGGTGCCTATGCAAACAAACAGCTTATCTTGAGAATCCATCACCATCAGAGCACTTGTTTCACTGTTTAAACTAATAGTTCACATGCGTAGACACTTAATACACAAAATCGCAACACTTTTACATATCAAAGTCCACTTCAAACCATTATTTAAACAATAATACAGGAGCAGCAAACCGCCGCCGGTCAATTTCCTGCCAAAACTCCCTACGTTAAGGTATTTTTTTTTGGAGTTTATGGCCTGGTATCTAGACCTTTAGGCCAAGTCTTAAGTATTTTTATTCGGTTTATTGTAATTTTCCCACTCCTTCATAGTATACTGCTTCACAATATGTTGATGCGTCACATTGTGCAGTTCTTGGGAGATTTTGGCGGCAACTTGATCCAGCAGACAGCTGATAGTAGGCGATGGTATCTAAAGGTGCCTATGCAAACAAACAGCTTATCTTGAGAATCCATCACCATCAGAGCACTTGTTTCACTGTTTCCACTAATAGTTCACATGCGTAGACACTTAATACACAAAATCGCAACACTTTTACATATCAAAGTCCACTTCAAACCATTATTTAAACAATAGTACAGGAGCAGCAAACCGCCGCCGGTCAATTTCCCGCCAAAACTCCCTACGTTAAGGTACATAGCACCATAGCACAGACTAACTAGTAGATTCTAACCATGAAGTTATAGATAAAGAAACTTCATGATTCTAACCGAATCATACGGACATCTCACGAACTAAACTTACTCGACTTAGCTTCTGAATCCTGATTGGTTGTAGCAAAATGATATGACATTTCGCTTTTTTTTTATTTGAAGCAACTATACCAGGCAAAGGACGTCCTAAATAAGTTCATGTATTAATTACTTGCAAACTTTATTTTAAAATATTGAAAATAAAAAGGGCTAAATGCAAATGAAACAATGTTGAAATTTATTTATTCACTTTATTTTTCAGATTTTTCTTATATTTTAACAGAGCTTTACCTTTCATTTCTCGTAGCTGCCTTCTTTCTAAGCGAACAATATCTACACATTTTAAAATTT